ATTCAAAATGAAGAACGAGTTATTTACTTTTAAGAGTGCAAAGTGAATAAAAATATTTATTCAATTAATTTTCATTTGAATTCATTTTTCTTTTTTGTTCCGTTGAATAATTTTGAAATAAATAAAATATAAAATTACACGATTGAGTAAATTAAAAATCGATTCGAAAATCAAACAAAATTGTAATCAAATCTCTTTTAAAATAAATTTATTAGTACGTCACGTCTGAAATTAATTGCTTTTTCACTTTTTGCTTTTTAAACACATAACCCTTTTTACAATATATTGTAATTTTTACTTTATTTGTTTTTAAATTAAACTATAAAATCAAATGCAGATATATAGAAATAAAAATAAATAAATTGTACTGCGTCATATTGTTTTTACTATTTTCAAAATAAATTATTCTTTTTGTTAAAGGGAATCCGGTACAAACGCATTAGTTTGTTGTCTTGGCTTGCGTGGAACTCGTATAAAACAGCGGAAGTTTTAAAAAGAATCGTGTTCTCGAACAATTTTTAAATCGAGTAGGCTGCACCCTGCTTATGTGTAATCTAACTAATGGTTTTAAAAATACTTTAGATCCCGGGTAGAGAATATAAAAAGAAACTACATAAAAAGTTAGCTTGAAGCGCATGAATTCTAACTGTAAGATTTAAAATTATGTCAGATTTGCTAAAATATTAAAGAAAAAAAAAAAAAAAAAAACTTATCTAATATTTTTTCAAAAAAAGTTCTTCTAATAAAAGCTGACGGTTGTCAAAGTGATACCGCTCTCTCACTGACGGCTGTCTCTGTCATTTATATGAAAATAAAGAAGTTAGAATAAAGTATTTTAAATAAGTTGAAAATTCAGGAAATTTTTTTATTGATTTTTTATTTAAAACTTTTTTCCTAATTCATTTTTTTTTTTTCATTTCTCTCTAATAACTTACTTTATCTCTCTAATAACTTACTGTATCTCTCTAATAACTTAGTTTGAAGTTGATCGTATCTATGGAGAACATAAGAGCAATTAACAATGGCTTTTGGCTTTTCAGTTCATTGCAGAGCTAATTTTTAACTAGTGAGTCAAAGAATCTTTACACAGTGTTTTGTTTTTTCACTTTTTACTTGAAAATGTTCAAAGGGGATGTTGCAGAAAATATGATGATGTTGGAATAATCCCATTATTAAGCTTAAGATGTTGAACAGGAGTAATTATCACTTATGATAATTTTTATATATAAAAAAACTTTAATTGTTATTAAAGAAAATTAAATTAAAAAATTATTCTCTGCTAGCTGATATATTAAATCAGGGTTAGCTAAAAAAGATAAATAAAATACTGTTATTGGACGTATCAAAATACTAAAAATTAGGAGGGGATCAGAAAGAGAGGGGAGGGGGAGAGGAAAAGGTAGTAATTTATCAAACAGAAGTTTATTAAAAAAAAAACTTTTTTTATTACAACATATGAAGGATGGTAAAAGACCGTAAAATTGCCACGTATTAATAATACGTGACGATTTTTAGACCAAATTATTGTATATAATCTTTTTAAAATAAGGAACATTATCCGTTCAAATAAACCTGAGTCGATTATACCCCTAGGCGGCAAAATAGCATTCCTCCGATAATCCAACTATATTGGAAGGCGTTATTAATCTCAGCAAAAAATATCTTAAAGTTTGAAATGATAACACTACTAGTTATCTTGAATGGTTTGGCAAAAGAATTTTCATTTTTTTAAAAAACACATATGAAATGATTTGGAACTAGGGATCGCCGGCTACTAACTTTACGGTAAACTTTACCGTATATTTGGTATAATAAAATTTAGTTTAGTATACATATTTTCCTTTTTTTTATGAATTTTTTTTCGGACTGATTTTATAATTAAATAATTTATTATTAAGTTATTATTACATTGTTGTAATAAATTAAATTAATATACCATACTTATTTTATAACTTATCATGGTTAAAGTGCTTTTATTTTTAATTGTTTTTTTTTAATGTAGCAAGATATCAATCCATTATCAAGTGATTGCTGATTTTGATCAACTTTTTTATTTATCTAGTGAGAATTTGTAACCAATGGTTAAAAGTATAAAAGAATACACAGACAATAACATTAAATAAAATACAAATACATTTCCTTTTACGTTAATCGTTAAAACCTTTTTACAATTTTGTATTATTTTGGTTTCGCCAGAAAAAAAAGTTTTGTATACGGTATACTTTACTGCATACTATACGGTAAACTGCATACTAAATTTTTAATATACTGTACACTAGCAATCTTAATTTGAAACTAACTTTTTGTAACCTTTTTATTCATAAACACAGGAAATAATGCTTATATTTAAAAACCATACTTAGACAATTGGTTTGGATAATAGTTTAATACTATTTGTTATGTGAAAGTTGTCTTTTCAATCAAATATTGTGTCTATATATATATATATATATATATATATATATATATATATATATATAGGGGAGAGTTGTCTTAATTGAAATACTTGATATCTATTAACCAAAGATGTCTTAACTATGAAAACTTTTTATTTTTATTTTTTTATTTAGGTGCCCCAAAATGTCCTTACACATGATCACATGGTCTGATCACAGAGCACCGCGGATGAGCATTTAATAGAAAGTTCACGCTTCATTCTAACCAATTTTGCAAATTTGCCTGAAGGTAGGGTTTGAACCAGGGATCCTCAGGTTTCTGAGGCAAGTGCGCTACCACTGCGCCATGTTTGCTCTAATTTATGATTTAAATAAAATAAACAGGCAACCCTATTATACTTTTAACCATAATTTGAACTTAATTGATTGCACTGTTATTGAAAATAAATTTTCTTTTGCAATGATACCATCTATTTTCAATCAAGACAATTGTTCCCTAAATTAGAACACATTGATTCCGTAATCAGAAGAGGTTTTTTCTTGTAAAAGAAAACCAGTAATATTAACAAAAATTGATTAAAAGTAGTTTTTATCTTTACATTGAAAATTTTAACAGTTTATTCAAAACTTATAATAGGATTAATATCAAATTGAAATTCTGTAAACCTGGCAAATTGAAATTCTGTAAACAAAAAAGTTGTATAAAAGCTTCAACTGTTATGACGTTCTTCTATTTTATTGATTAAAAATCTAAATAAAGTATTTTGTTTTAGTTTAATAGTTGTTACTAAGTTTTTTATATTGCGCCTGAATTATTTCTACAACTCTTTGATTTAATTACTTTACTATTAAATCTTATCGCATTAAACACAAAAAATCCTATAACCTATAGCAGTATAGTTTACCGAGCGCAATCGATATATTGTAAACATAAAATTAGATAACCAAAAAAAAATGACGCGAAAAAGCATTGAATTAATAGTGCACATGCATTTTCAACTTTCAAAATCTACCAAAACACAGAATATGAGACGTTTTACTAGAAAAATGCAAAATATAGCCATAATTCTTTTTTTTTTTTCAAAAATAAATGCAACTGTTCTAATTAAGACGCTGTATATATATATATATATATATATATATATATATATATATATATATATATATATATATATATATATATATATATATATATATATATATATATATATAACTATTAGCAAAAGAAAGAGGTAAAAACAATTAGATTGTAATCGTAAATACTTCAAAATACTTCAACAACTTTCTTTGGTAAGAACTTTATGGAATGTTGCTTAGCCCAAATTATGCATGACTATTATCATTCATAAGGATATTTTATTTGATAAGTAAACAAAATAAATTAATTCAACATATTCCACTAACGCTCCAACACGTCCAACTATATTTACTTACACAATTTTTCTTACAACTTTACAGTTTCTTCTGGTATTTTTATACTAAATTAATATTTTGTTGTGAAAAAATATGTTGTATCTTATGCTCGTACACAGTAAACTTATCAATATTTATAACTTAAAAGTTTTAGAATTTTAAACTAACGGTTTTAAAGAGATATCAATTTTTAATTTTAAATTCTCTTCATTTTTCTATTGTTTAAAAATGTTATATATTAATTTATATGTTTTATTATGTTATTTTTTTATGTTTTTTTTTTTATAAAATTTTAAGTGTATTAAATTAAAGCTTGTAAATTTAATAAAATTTAATGCACACAAAGGTGAAACAAAAAAGTTTTTGGTATTCTGTGCGTGCACTTAAGTTAACCTAGAAAACGAGATTAGTCCTACACTTCTATTGATACTATACAAATAAAGTTCAAATAAACTGTACAAAAACAAATAAAAGACTCATTTTAAACCACAAGACTTTTTTTGAAAATGTGTCGTCTCTGAAAACCTTTACAAACCTTTTCTTTAAGAAAAATAGCTTTAGTAACTGTTTTGATACATCCGTGTTACTAAATACAGTATCTTAAGATATCTGATGTTTATAGCATTAAAATAAACTTTGTTATGGTGAGTTGGGCCTAGTTAGACAATCTTAAACCCTATAGTTCAAAATTTTACCCCTTTATTTTACCCTAACTTTAATTCACAGTCCTAATCCTTAACTTTAATTCACAGTCCTAATCTTTAACCTTAATCCAGTCCTAATTTTTAACCTTAATCCACAGTCCTGATCTTTAATCTAAATCCACAGTCCTAAACTCTAATCTTAATCAGTTTTTAAGGTGCATTTATTGTTGAATATATTAAATATAAATATTTTGAAATACAACTTTATTTGTTAATTAAAGAAAATTTTGTTTGGGAATATAAGAAAAATTTATTTGGGAACTAACTAATTTTAGTTAAAAGACTTTTTTCAGATCAAATAGCAAAAAGAATTTTTGATTTTTAGAAAATTTATCTATTTTATAAACAAGTTACAAGTAACAAGTTTACTGGAGGGCATACATTATTATTAAAACTATACCATTTCAAAAAATATATTCAAAAAAATGATTAAATTTATATTACTAAAACTTTTGTAGCGTGACGAAGATTTGAAAAAGAAACTTACGCTGTAATCCACAATGTAGAAGAAATACTTGCAGAGTTGGCAGAGGTGGAAATATGTTAGTATTTTTTTTTTTAAATTACATTTTGTTTATAGAAACTGCATTTTACAAATGTAAAAAACTTTTAAAAATACATTCTAATTTCAATTTTTTATGTATAAGAAGCAGATTTTGGCTTTTATACATTCATAGTTTTATGCTTTGTTTGTAATCTAATTTAAAATTTAAGTAAGTTAAATTAAACCAGCCTATTTTATTGATTTTATCACCGCTGTTTTAGACACGTAAGAATGAGAAAGAGACACTTATAATAATAAGAGACACCTAATTTCTTTTTTTAATCGTGAGACATCATTGTATTGAGAGAATATGTTTTGCTTCATCCTCAAATTTTCAAAACCTTTACAATACCTGGAAAATTTTTATATATTTTAAAACATCTTGAAAAGTTGTTTCTGAAACTTTTGAAATTAAGACATAGTAGACGTACTCAGATGCGAATAAAATTTCAAAACATTTTTCTACTAACTTACTAAAAGATTTATACTAAAGAAATGAAAGAGAAACATTTGCTATGTCGCATGCTTTAATTTTAGCTAATTTTAAATTATTTTTTAAAGGGAAAATGTCAGTATGCTTGATATTGAAAAAACCAAAAAAGCAATTTACCAATTATTTATATAGATTTTATCATTTAAAACTAAAGGTAGAAGAGACCGGGGCTAGTTGGCAGCAAGGATAAGTTGACGAGTTGTGTTTTTTCAAAGCCTTTTATCAGAAAAAATGCTAGAAATTATGTGGAACCTTACTAATTGACTATTTCATCTTTCAATGTAAGGCCATTTACACCTATTAATATTAATGAGTTTTTTGGACAAAAGCGTAACGTTTGGAACATCGCTTTTTTTCTTCTATTTAACTAAGTTATTAATCGCTCGTTAGGAAAAATATTTTTTTTAAAGACTCCAATCACAACTGATTTTTGATTTTCACAGGGTTTTTTATGTGTATATGCTTTTTGCCAATAAAAAAATAATTTACAATCGTAGTTTGTAAAAACAAATATTTACATGAAACTAACCTAGTCACCAAGCCCCAAAATAATTGCCATTTTTCAGGATCTATTGAATAAAAGACTTGGAGTAAGATGGCAAAATTTTCACGGGATTACTAGACTCTTAATATTTTCTATATATAAAAAAAAATTATAAAATTGTAATAATATTGAGAAAATTTATTTTTTTACCAAAAAAAAAAAAAAAAAATTTTTTTGAGATTTTTTTTACCTAGAAAGTGGGCTACTGTTTAGACTTTTTTTTTTTTCTTTCTTGACTAAATTTTTTTTCATTTTTGACTAAATGAATAATTCCATTATATTTGGTATATTATCTAAGATAAAATTAATTTTGGTGATATTTGGTATATTATCTAAGATAAAATTAATTGTGATATAAATACCGCCAAGATATAAAAACTGAGCATTACAATGAGCGTGACAAATTTTAACCACAAAATAGAAAAAATACATAAAAACAAAAAAATTGAACAGCTAAGTAATCTGCTTCGGTTATATTAATATTTAAATCAACATAGCCATTGAAACAAACTTTACATGAAGCCATTTGTAATTCAACAAAAGTAATCAAAAATGGTTGAGCTAGAGTTTACAAAAGGCCTACTAAATATTTTAATTGTTTCAGTAAATATGAAATTTAGTAAATTTACGAATAAAAGATAAACAAATTTATGAAATAACTTTAAAAATATAAAAAATTTATAAATTTTTTTATTGCACAGGTGAGCGTTTGTCTACATTTTCGAGTTGTTCGAAATACCGACGTGCATTTCGAATATTGATCATGGTTGCAGCGGAAGCTAAAAATTATTTATTAACAATTAGACATATTTTAAAGTAAACAATTTTCTAACTAAGTATTATAACATCTATTAACCAAGTAATATCTATTAGTCATTTTTTGATAAAAATGAAACATTATTTAATGGGTAAAAACTCTACAGTTTGTATTAGCCCTTTTTAAAATTATACTATGATAACGGAAGTCTGAAACAATAGTAGATGCCAAATAATAATAAGAAACATTTGCTAAGATACCAATCTTAGTGAATGTTTCAAATGATGATCAAGTGACAATAGGAATAAATACAGAGACAAGAGAGTAAGTTCTTCATTCTATCAAAAACACGTAATCCTCAACTCAAGTAATTTAACACAAGTGCAATAAATTAAAGACAAAAGACAAGTATAATACACTAAAACAAGTATTTACATACAAGCATAATACACTACAACAAGTATTTACAGACAAGTATAATACAATAAAACAAGTATTTACAGACAAGTATAATACACTAAAACAAGTATTTACAGACAAGTATAATACACTAAAACAAGTATTTACAGACAAGTATAATACACTAAAATACACTAAAACAAGTATTTACAGACAAGTATAATACAATAAAACAAGTATTTACAGACAAGTATAATACACTTAATCAAGTATTTACAGACAAGCATAATACACTAAAATAAGTATTTGCAGACAAGTATAATACACTAAAACAAGTATTTACAGACAAGTATAATACACTAAAACAACATTTTACAGACAAGTATAATACACTAAAACAAGTATTTACAGACAAGTATAATACACTAAAACAAGCATTTACAGACAAGTATAATACACTAAAACAAGTATTTACAGACAAGTATAATACACTAAAACAAGTATTTACAGACAAGTATAATACACTAAAATAACATTTTACAGACAAGCATAATACACTAAAACAAGTATTTACAGACAAGTATAATACACAAAAACAAGTATTTACAGACAAGTATAATACACTAAAATAACTATTTACAGACAAGTATAATACACTAAAACAAGTATTTACAGACAAGTATAATACACTAAAACAAGTATTTACAGACAAGTATAATATACTGATTGCATTTTACAATTTACAATTATTATTTATAAGTTTCTTTTATTATTACTTAGGTGTTTATTTATATTATACAATTTATTTTTTGCTTTGTTGCTTTTTTATTTTAGAAATTTGTTTTAAAAATAATATATTTTTATGTTTACAATGTAGTTTTCAGCATTTCACTACTCGCAGCAACTTCACTGCTCGCAGCAATTTCACTGCTTGCTTACATCTTTTTCAGAGTCAAAAGCTGCACACAATAAAAAATTCATTTTAGCTGGCATGATGTATAGCTCTGCATATAATATGCATTTCAAACCAGCTAAAAAGAACTTTGCAGCTAAAGACTCCTGCAGATAATTTTAAACCATAACACAAACCTTTGAGCTAATTAAGCAATTTATCCTCAATTGAATTGAAGTCTATAATTGATATCATTTGAACATCAACTTATGTTATCCTATTTCAAATTTAACCTTTAATGTTGCTAGTTTAATGTTCTACAAACTATTTTATTATTTTTTTATTGAACACTTATTTTTTGTTTCAACATTAACTATTTTTCAAAATTCTTGTCATTTAATTTTTGTTTGCTCCAAATATTTTTAGCATTCTATTTTCTTGTGTTGTAAAAGAGTATTGACCAGCACTATCATATTATTTTCTACTGATGATAGCAATCTGACTATGATAGCAATCTGACTATACATAAAAACTACATTGGTACATTTTGGTTCATAAACTTCTTTGTCAAAGTTTAATACTTAGACACAGATCAAACCATTATTATGTAACCCCCACAGATCCCTATTTCAGTTTTACATCGGTTCGTTTTTCCCCTATGTATTGATTGATAGAGCGTGCTGTGAAGAAAGAAACATCATCTTGTTAAAATTTATCAGTGGAGTCTCCTCTGAAAACGACCATTAAAGGCTGTAAATAATCTAATATCTCTCAATACTGATCAGTGTAAAAATGCACCAGACCAGTGCTAGATCCAGCAATGCAGCCTGAAATGCTATTTTAGCCTCCCCCTCCTTAAAATCTTTACAAGATGAAACGAGAATTATATTTTTCATTTTTGTATCTCCTCACTAAAATCCTTTTCTTGGAATTAATAAATTTAAAGTTAGACTCGTCAGTAAAAATTACTTTTCTCCATTGCTCTACAGTCCATGCAATTTTTTCTTTGCACCATTTTCTTCCCTTGTAACGGTCTTTGATGCTTAGTAGTGCTTTTTTGTTACAAGGTACAAATTGAGTTTTTTTTTATTTTTTTAATCATTTCTAATTGTTGATTGGATAACTTGATGTGCATCTATTGTTGTATTCAGGTCTGAGACGATTTCAACTATGCTCATGATTGGATTGTGTCTAGCAAGCATAGTTACTTTATTTTTGTCGCTTTCTGACATTCTTTTACGACGACCTAGGCAACTTTTGCTTTTGACTGTGCCAATCCAATACACATATATATATATATATATATATATATATATATATATATATATATATATATATATATATATATATATATATATATATATATATATATATATATATATATATATATATATATATATATATATATATATATATATATATATATATATATATATATATATATATATATATATATATATATATATATATATATATATATATATATATATATATATATATATATAAAGACTGATTAAATAGGCAAAACATGAAAAACTAAGAGTGTTGCTACAATGACTAAAGGGAAACCTAAGTTGGGACAGCAATCATTTTTTTAATTATTCTTTGTTTATTTATTTATTCTTTTCTGCAAATAAAACATATTGAAAAATGTAAGCAAAAAAAAATCAGTAAATGTATACCTATATTTGATATAGTAGATACTATATGCATTTTTTTATGTTATGCTAATGTAAGGCTGAAAGGGCCACTACAGTTGAGGCTGATTTATTGTGATTGCAACCCTCCCTTAACTCTTCAACTCCGAAACACAAAATTTGATGAACAAGGTCATTGTATGGAGAAACAAGTTTAGCACCACTTTCTCAAAACCGTTGCAGTAGACTTTTATTGCACTATATCTTGGAAGCCAAACCCTTTTCAAAGGAGATGAGGATAAACTCAGTTTTTTTTTAATGGAAAATTAGACACCTTTGTGGTGCTAATATAAGTTTTAGTGTTAGAGCAGCTTATATTTTAGTAGAGCAATTATATCTGCCATGAAATTCTGCAAAGTCCTTGCAGCTGTCAAATGTTCCTCCTAAAGTTGGCCATGAACTTGTTTTAGCAACGCACAAGTGTATTGTACAGATCTGGTTACTATTGTAGGCCTAAGAAACAAATTAAATAACTGCTGGCAAGTTTTGAAAAAAGATGCAACACATGGATTGTTTGAAACTACATATTTGAAAAAATGCAATATATGGTTACATTATTATTTGATGCCAACTTGGATGCCATCAATGTGACCTAATTTAACAGCTTTACCGCTACAGCATTGAGGCAGCATGCGATCTAACCTTATACTTGCTTTTTTGCATGCAGGTTCACCTTCTTCTTTCTTAAGTGCCATTACCAACAGGTGACATTTAGAGTTTTTATAACATCTAAAACCCATTTTCCTATTGGGATATCTCTTAACAGGGAATTTGGTCTCTAATTTAGACTAATACATGCATTTTGATACACCCCATAAGTGCAAATCATAGACATGGAAAGCAGAATGCAGTATCTTGTTCTTGAAGTAGAAAGTGTTGAAGTTGCTGTAGTGGTAGTGAAGAAGACGTAGTTCAATGTGGAAGAATCTACAAATACCGTATTTTTCCATACCTTTTAATAATTTAGTGCCTTTTAAATAATCAAATCTAGAAATATTTATATAAATACAAATATACTCTATATAAAACTACTTTCTGAAAAAAGAACATAATGATTTTTTATGCATGACATGTTGTAAATAGTTTATAATAGAAATGCTCACACATATGAATTCATTAAAATGTACATATTAAATATATATTAAATTAAAATGTTAGATTAAAATTTTGCTTGTTTGATTAAAATGTTTAATGAAACATTTTAATTAAACTGAACTTGCATTTACCTGAAATAGAATTTGATAAACTTAATTTTAAGCTTGAATTTGCTTTATTATAAATATATAATTAACTACAAGCTTGAATTCGCTTTTTTTACATAAATAATTACAAAAAACAATTAAAACCACGAATCACCTACGATAATTGTAAAGTGGAAAAAGTCTGCTGTATATAATTTTACATATAAATGATTTTTAATATCAATTTTAAAATTACGCAAATCATTTTGCATAATTATTAATATTGCATTAATTATATAAGATTCTGCAAATAACTTTTTATATTATGGAAAGATTACTGTGGGCAGTCCATAACTTTAGGTACATGGTATCTATAGTTACGGGTCTGATTACACATTTATATTTTAAAATTTTACACATTTCCTAATAAAAATACAAAAAAAATAAAAACTTTAGATAATAAGCTGTAAACTTTTTAATTAAAAAAAAAATTTTAATTAAGTTGAATAATTAAAAATCAATGTTCAGTTGAACAAAAACTTGGATGTTGTCCATATTAAAATTGTTGCACAACTAATGGTTGTGTTTTTGAGCAGCACGAGCAATGTGTGCAGCTTGCAATATGCAATTGTATGTGCAACAGACAACCTAATGAAACAGACAACCTAATAAAATAGAAAACCTAATGAAACAGACAACCTAATGAAACAGAATGCAACAGACAAACATTCAAATATTGTATTTTTTGATGAATAATATTTTTTTTAATTGCGTCTGTCATTCTACAATCACAGCACCAAATACATGTAAAATATGATTCACATTTTTATGTAAACTTTAATTTTGGACCAGTAGAGTTATTAGACTGTAAAGTGCTTAAATTTGTTACCTTTAGGACTCTACAGTCTGGTTTAAGGACTATAGAGTCCTTAAACCAGACTGTAGAGTCCTAAAGGTAACAAATGAACTAGTGAGTTTTGAAACACATTTCCCAAATAAAAAAATTTCCATATCAAGTCTGCTGCTACAAAAAAATTGTTTGAAAAATTTAAGATGCTACCCACTCACAAAATTACATTTTTCTTTTAACTTGAATGCCCATGCAATTTTTTCTACAGTTTCTTATTCTCTACAGTTCTTTGATTGTAAATTTAAAAAAAGATTTTTTAACTTAAAATTTATGTAAAATTTCATTTTTTGTTAAAAACCAAAATTTTACACATTTCCTAAATAAAAAAAATGTTAACAAGAAATCATTGATTATAAAATTTTTATATTTTTAACTAATTCTTCAAAAGAAATTTTTTTTCAAGAAGTTTCTTCCTGTTGTCCCTGGCAACCAGCATGAGGTTTTGTTTTACATGTCTGCAAGTCCTATGAAAATTTTTAAATAAAAATTAAGACTTCGGAGTTTTTTCTTTCCTCCACTGTTCCACCTCACTACCAAGGACTTCTGCCACCATAAACTGAAGCAAACTATATGGACTTACCAGCATAGACTTTGGACTCAAAGCTTAGTGGGCTCTAATATTACTGGTAGCTTAGGTTTGAGTCACTTGCAAAGAATATCATACCAAATAAATTTGCTCAACATCTTTTTCTTCACTTCCTGCCTGAAGAACTTTTGAATTTCCTTTTTCCTCCTTTTTCATAAACTGGATTTCTTTAATCGATATATACAGATTAGCAACATTAACTTGAAGAAAAATATTATATCACTTTCACTATGTTATTTGTATATTATGTTTACTATGTTAACTTGCGCAACTTTTTATATTTATTTATAAGGTATAATATTTTCAGTATACTGCACCTTCTTACCGTTCCTCTTTTTTTTTTTCTTTGTTTTATTCTTCCTCTTTTTTTTTTCAATTTTTAAGTAAAATCTACCTCATGTATTTTTATTAGTTCATACTTTAAAACAAATCAACAATTTGTACAATATAGTAAAATTCATAACAACTCATTTTAATTAATATTAAAAATGTTAAATGACATGAATTACTAATTTTATAGAATTTTAAGCATGATGTTTAATGTTAAATTAAACTGCTTTTGAGAACATTGTATTTGTTTATTTTAATTATTATTTGTAGCTGTTACCCCTTTTGGATATTTTTGTAAAGATATGTTTCATCTTATTGCTTTATATTATTCTTTTTTAACATTTTTTGCACACCATTGCTTCTTAATGCTTTTGTAAACATTAGCTATTGCTTTTATATTATTTAGAGATTTCTATCATAATTCATTTAAAACATTTTTTTGATTAAACAAAAACATTTAATTGCCTAATTTAATTATTTTGAGTTAAATCAATACTTACGAATATCTTTATCAGACATAATGACCATTGCATATGTATTTGAAGTAAACACATCAATATAAGCAGCAAATGAACTGTTTCGAACTTCCATGCTTTGAAACTGAGCATGTAGTTTGCTAAAATCATAAATATTAAATATTGGTGAAAAAATATATATAAAAAGTAAAAATAGCAAAATATTTGTTCTAACAAAACAAAAAACAAAAACTATACAAAAACATCTGTATTTGTTATCATGTAACAACATTTCTTAAGCCATCAGCCTTGTTTGGTTCTTGTTTGGTTCTTGTTTGGTTCTTGGCAAAGCAGAGCAACTCTTGCATTAAAGTCTCACCTCATACAACTTTACAATGCATCTATCACATTTGCTGAACTTAAGGCATGAGACAAAATACAAGAAACTTTAGTTTATAACTGGGAAAACAAAAAGAAATGTTAGAAAAATCACTGAGCAATACATTTCAACTCATATTTTACTCTGCTCTGTTTAACAGCAAATCTACTAACAGTACAACCAATCTATTTCTGAATAAAGTTTCCCACAGCAAAAACAATGACATAAAAATGTAACTGTAGTGGGACAAGTTCTAATAGGACAATGGTAGAAATAAACAAGTTCATATAGGACAATGGTAGAAATAAATAAGTTCATAATGGACAATGGTGGAAATAAAAAAAGCATTGCAAATGCTTTTTTTATTTCCACCATTGTCCATTATGAACTTATTTTAAAAAAAAAGAGTTTTTCAAAGCAATTGATGTATCATGCATCACATCTGGTAAAGAAAGTTTTAAATCTAAAATAACAGAACTTCAAAAAACTAGCTTTATGCATGTCAAAGTAAAAAAATGGTTTTGTTGTAGGCCAGACTTTAGTCTCACTTGCACTTCAGAATGCACAAAATGTGTTTTTATACAAAACAAAATGGAAGCAAAAGCAATTTAAAAAAACTATGCTCACTTCCTTTATGTTGGCATTAAAGTCTCATCACCCAAAATTCTTAAAAATATCTTCCTGCATGTTCCACAACCATCAGAAACATCAATTTTTATATAATTAAAGATTATTTTTTTTATTTTAAAATCAACACTGACTAACTATTTATATCTATTGTTCCTTAATTATTTTTATTATTAGCAGCTAATTAAATTATTATTACCAGCTAACAAAGTTTTGTGATTAAACACCTTGGGGAGATAATTGGGAGTTTGATGTTTTGGACATAAGTAAAGCTTGTATTTTGAGTTAATATATTGATGAAAAAAAATTGTTTATAAAAAATAACACACACGAAATACAGCTTTTTATATATTGTAGATAAAACTATTTACTAATATAAATAATACTTACAAATAAAAGATAAAACTATTTACTAATATAAATATTATTTACAAATAAAAGATAAAACTATTTACTAATATAAATAATACTTACAAATAAAAGATAAAACTATTTACTAATATAAATAATACTTACAAATAAAAGATAAAACTATTTACTAATATAAATAATACTTACAAATAAAAGATAAAACTATTTACTAATATAAATAATACTTACAAATAAAAGATAAAACTATTTACTAATATAAATAATACTTACAAATAAAAGATAAAACTATTTACTAATATAAATAATACTTACAAATAAAAGATAAAACTATTTACTAATATAAATAATACTTACAAATAAAAGATAAAACTATTTACTAATATAAATAATACTTACAAATAAAAGATAAAACTATTTACTAATATAAATAATACTTACAAATAAAAGATAAAACTATTTACTAATATAAATAATACTTACAAATAAAAGATAAAACTATTTACTAATATAAATAATACTTACAAATAAAAGATAAAACTATTTACTAATATAAATAATACTTACAAATAAAAGATAAAACTATTTACTAATATAAATAATACTTACAAATAAAAGATAAAACTATTTACTAATATAAATAATACTTACAAATAAAAGATAAAACTATTTACTAATATAAATAATACTTACAAATAAGAGATAAAACTATTTATTAAAATAAATAATACTTATATATAAGAGATAAAACTAACACAAACAATACTTATATCTAAAACTATTTACTAACATAAATAAAACTTATATATGAGAGATAAAACTATTTACTAACATAAATAATACTTGCATCATAAATAAAAATATTTACCAACATGAATAATATTTTTCAACAACATGCATATAACTAAAGAAATTAATAACTTAACAATAAACAAGCATTGTTTATTCTCAAACAAGCATTGGAACAATAAAAAAACATTGCAAAACCTTACCTACAACTTAATTTAAATTGCTTTATTATATTGCTAATTTTTTCAAATCGATGAGGATCATAATGACTCTTAAGTTCACATTGTGATATAACCTGAAACATTAAAAAAAAATTTTAATATTATCTTTTATTAATCACTTATCAAGTATTTAATAGTTTTAATAAAACATTGTAAAAGTTACAAGAAATGTTGCTCTTTCAAATAAAAGGACTTCATCTGCATCCAATATCTCTGCAAACTTTTTGAGATTTGTTTCTAATGTAGAAACATTAGGAACAAGTTTACAAACTATACTTGACCAAGCCTAAACATATAAATAATAAATATTAGAATAAATATTTATAAGAAAAAAATAGCAAGTAACATTAATGCTAGAAATAATTATTTAAAAGTTGCCAATCAACACCAATTGCCCAAAATTAAAAATATTGAAAAGTAGATGATCAATTTTTTTCTGGACAAACAAATTTAATTTTTGTAATATTTTCACTTAAATTTTGTAACCATAGCACTTTCTCAACATAGTTAAAGAAAGATCTGAAGAAAAATATCGCATTTAGGCCCTTTCGTTTTAAAAAAATGCTTTTTTATTTTGTGTGTGTTCTGATTGGTTTATTTTTTAAATCTTGAAGCTTATTGTATTATTTTGTTTACAAATATTTGGTGATTTTATTATCTAAGAATTTTAAGTTTTAGCTTAATACTATGGGGCAGAAGTTAAAAATAGAAGAAATAAAAGCTGAAACATTACAAACAATGGTAATTTATTCAAACGACTCTAAAGAGATTATGGAAGTAAATTGCTATGAGTGAAAATTAATGTAAAAACTTTAATTTTAACGCTTTTACTATTTACAGAAAGATAAAATATGAGCTTTTTAGCCATTTATTGAATATTTTAATGTTGTAAACAAAGAGACTTTTTACTTTCAAATAAAAGAGATATTTTTGGACTGTAAATACTTAACACATTTGTTTTAACTGTTTTTATGGTGCTGCCCGATGGATTTTATGTAACATAGTGGTAATTTTGTTTTGTTTGATAATTTGGTTGAAAAAAGATTTATAAAAAAATAATAAACTAATAAATTACATAAGAAAAACTTAAATTCTACTTTTTAAAAATATATAACAGCATTAGTCAAAAATAAGCGAAAAACACAAAAAATTGAAGTTTAAAAACGTAAATTTTTGTTAAGAAATACAAATTGTTCGGATCTCTCCATAATTACATTGAGTTATGCATCATGCCCAATTTTTATAGGGTATAACTGTTATAAAGCTTGATAATCCACACAAAAATGCTGAATAACCTGAATAACCTTTTAATAAAACACAATGAAATTTTTTTATTTTGCTTTTAACTCTCAAATCTTTACACTTCTTTGTACTGCAGTTTTAGCATATTAATTTTCATTTCTCCTTACTGTAGTTTTAGCATATTATTTTTCACTTTTTTTTTTTTTTATTTGCATTCACTCCCAACAAGGCTGCAAGCAACCACTATTAAGTTTGGAGTTACTAGGAAAAAAGAGAACAGAGTTATAGAGCAAGGAAGCGGTTGATAGAAGACTTGAAAAGTTGAAGGTTGTATGAGTCAGGAAAACATGAAGATGGGAGAAAGTTCCAAAGGATTGAAGTGCGGGGAAAAAAACTAGATGAATAAAAGTTGCAGGGACAGATACAGTAAACGAATGAGACTTAGCTGAATGACGAGTAAAATGAGAATGAATTTTAGTTGATGGAACTAGAGATGATAACTCCTTTGAGCAGTGACCATGATAGTATCTGTAGAAAAGAGAAAGAGATGCAACTTTACGACGATGGGAAAGAGGTTCAAGCTTAGCAGATAGTCCATGTCCAACAACATTTACAATGCATTTTTGGACCTTGTCAAGAAAAGAAAGTGAATCGTTAGAAGAACCAGCCCAAATATGACAACAGTATTCCATACAGGGACAAATAAGAGATTTGTAGAGGTAGAGAATGGAATCAGAAGTAAGGAAATGGCGAGCACGATAAAGAGAAGCAACCTTAGCAGAAGCTAATATAGCAATCGATTGTATATATGGTTTCCATGAAAGGTCAGTAGTAAGCGATAATCCAAGAAGACGTAAAGAGGAGGACTCAGTAAGAGGATTGCCATTCATTAATATAGGAATGTTGACCATATTACAGTAGTTGTTTGCAGTAAACAATTGGGTTTTTTTAGAGTTGAAATTCACAAGCCACTGTGAACCCCAATCTATTACTGAATTGAGATCAGATTCAAGATCAGCTGCTTGTTCTAGGCGATCGAAAAGAGAAGACTTTTTGTCAAGACAGGAGTATAAAGTTAAGTCATCAGCAAAAAGAGCTACTTTAGATGAAAGGTTGTCAGGAAGATCGTTTATGTAGATAAGAAACAAAACAGGGCCCAGGATGGAACCTTGGGGAACCCCAGAAGTTACTGAAAATAAAGAAGAGTGTTGGCCTTCAAGGATGACTTTAATAAACCGGTTAGAAAGAAATGATTTGATAATCTCAAAAACTTTCCCAGAAACACCATATGAAGCAAGCTTATGGAGAAGACTAGCATGCCAAACTTTCTCGAAAGCTTTAGATATGTCGAGAGCAATAGCCCTAGCCTCACCGCCTCCATCTAATGCACGATAAAATCTTTCAGTTACAGCAGTTAGCAAGTCGGCCGTAGAGCAAGAGGATCGAAAACCGTATTGATTGTCTGACAGCAATTTATTTGACTCAAGATGAGATGTGAGGAATTTGTTGATCAAAGACTCAAAGACCTTGCTAATAACAGAAGGAAGACTGATCGGACGATAATTGGATGGGTCAGAATTTTCTCCAGAGTTTTTGAATATTGGAACCACAGATGCCATTTTCCAACAAGCAGGAAAACAAGACTCAGTCAAACACTTGTTAAATAGTTTAGAGAGAATTGAAGAAAGTTCTGGAGAACAATTCTGCAAGACTGTGACAGGAATGTTGTCTGGACCACAAGCTGTAGACGAGTTTAATTGAGATATGACTTTAGCAACAGAAGCCGGAGTGATTTGATTGTCTAACAATGGGTCAACCTATTTGACTGGAATGGAAGGAAGAGAATGTCCATAAGATTTAAGAGTGGAATTAGAAGAAAAGTTCTTTGCAAATAGTTCTGCCTTATCCTTGGGAGAGGTAATAAGATCAGTCCCATGAATGAGAGATGGAATGTTAGATCTACCCTTGTTATTAATGCTGTTGAAGATTTTCCAAAAGTCTTTAGAGCCTAACTTCTTCGATAAGATGCGAGATTTAGTGAACTGAGAATAATGGAGTTTAGCATCAGAAAGCACCTTTTTACATTGATTTCTTGCAACAATAAATAACCGTTTGTTCTCAAGAGAGTTGTTCTTTTGAAAAAGATGAAAAAACTGATTACGACTGGATATAGCAGCCGCACAAGAAGGAGAAAACCATGGAGCAGAATGAGGCCTGACTTGAAACCAACGAGAAGGAATAAAAGCTTCCATTCCAGCCTGAATCCAGGAGGTTACGTAGGAGGCGCATTTGTCAGCTGAGAGAGAAAAAACATCAGCCCAAGGACCATCACGAAGAAAATCACGAAAGGAATCCCAGTCAGCTTTAGGGTAGTAGTAGGTGGTGCGATGATAAGGTGAGCCCAAAAAAGAAGTACGAGAAGAAAGATTTATAGAGATCATTGCATGGTCAGAACCACCTAAGGGAGAAAAAGGAGAAACTGAACATAAGCTAGGGTCAGAGACAAGACATAAGTCAAGGAGTGAAGGTAAATGATTAGGGTTATCAGGAAAACGAGTCACAAAGTTAACTATCTGAGTAAGAGATTGAGAAACGCAGAAGTTAAAGGCTTTAGTGCCAGCAGGATCAGTGGTGTTAGAGCCAAGCCATTCAGTGTGATGGGCATTAAAATCACCAACAACAACAATATTGGCAGAGGGGTAAAGAGAGAGGGCATGGTCAATTTGATCAGAGATAACATCTAAGAGAGTGCAATCATGGGAAGAAGGAGAACGATAAAGAACAAAGAGAAAGGTGATAGAGTGAAGAGGTGCTAGGCGAAAGCACATAAAAGAATGGTCAAAGGATTCTAACCTGATTTCACGACAAATAGGGGAATTAATGCGTATGCATACCCCTAAACCTAGCATGTGACTATTGGAGTCTTTACGAATCAAAGGATAGTATCCATCAACACTGACATCTGAAGAAGAAATTGCAGAACTTAAATTTGTTTCACTGAGTGCAAGCAAGTCTGGTGAATTTTGCAGGAGGTAAGACTCAACTGATGGAAAGTTGCTTTGTAGACCGCGAATATTTGTAAAAGATATATTAAAATATTTAGCTGGTGGGGATGGTTTTTTAGGTTTTAAATTTTTGGTTACTTTGGTCATGATTTGGGTTTAATGAGAACTAGACTCATTCATACATAGAGCACAGCCTCCTAATCAATGAGCTATGCAGTTGTCTCAGTCCTGTTAATTAACCCTAAGCCGTGACATAGGGCTCCTTATGTGGACTTGACAATGCACACCAAAAGCATTAACAGGGACACCATCCATGCGCAACATGGCACTGTTAATACTCTGATATTTTGCAGCTGTTGATGGAATCAGCCTCTCTGAGAGCTACCACAGAGTTCGGGAAACCTTACTACCAGCTGGCCTCAGAACCATTAAACTGAGCTTTAGAGCTGTACCCTCATATAGAGATAACAGGAAGAGGTGCATAGCCATTATCAAGGAGGCATAAGCAAAATTCTATGAGTAGAGTCAAGGAGATCCAGCATTCATCATCCTAGGCAGGAAACAATGTAACACAGGTTACATCTACGCCAGCCTAATAGATGAAGAAGGGGTTCAAGGCTGGTTAGCAGAATTTTTCTGCTTACCCCTAAAGTCTTTGCCTAGGAGGCCTTCTACAAGACAGTAGCAGGATGCAGTTAACATCTGCCCAAGATGAGTATTTTTATCGAGACAACATCTCTAGCTTTTACTCAACCAAGAGCCCCAAGGCAGGGGATGTTTAGCTGGATGCAGTTAACATCTGCCCAAGATGAGTGTTTTTATCAAGACACCATCTCTAGCCTTTACTCAACCAAGAGCCTCAAGGCAGGGGAATTTTTAGTCCGAGTTTATTTCTCCTAGCCTTTGCATAAGAAGAGCACACTCTACAAGGCAGCAGGGCTTGTGGCAGGTGGTACTGGGTTACGTGATACCAGTAGCAAGATTGATCTCGATTATCCTGACCTGACCTAAAGTAGTTAAAAGGAGTTACTTCCCGCAA